CATCTTAGAAGTCTCTAACAGTTTTAGCTAGGGGTCTAGATTTACTTGGAGCTTTTTGTTACCAGGGTTTGGATATTTTTTCATGACATCTGATTTGCTAGCAAAAATGTCAAGCACCTAATTGCAATTTCAGTGTTTCATAAATCTGAATCAAATAGGAAAAAGAACCCCATGACCTCAAGTCTGTGAGTCTTCATGAACATTCAGTACAAGTGCTAAGGAGCTATTGACACATGATATTCAAGCCGAATGATCCTTTTGTTCAGTCCCTTTTTCTTGGAGCAAGGCTAACTGCAGCTCCCTTTGAATTTAAAACCTTACTTAATTATTTAATAGTACATACTACAGACTGATTAAATTTTGCACAGAATAGTGAGATTGTTTCACAGGTAGGTCATCACTCAGTTCAGTTTACCACTTAAAATTTCTTTCCTTCTTAGTCAAAATACAGCAAAGGCTATCCATCATTATCACTTTGTCCTTTAATTTTTCTGTCAGCTGTTGTCAAGCTTAGAACAAAAGCCTTTACATTTTTATCAGCAACAGCTATTCTTGTCTGAATTGTGCTTACTCATCTCAGAATATTGGTTGCATTTTTATCAAACTCCTCAAGTATTTTCAGTAGATCAGATCTATCTTTCACATAAACCTGCTAAACCAACAGAACCATTTCTTGTTTCTTTGGAAATGGAGAGTAAAAATGCTTAGGGTCAAATTGGCAGTGAGAATAACTTGTCCAGGCACCCTGCACTTAAATGGATGAATGTCTTCTGACTTAGTAAGAAGAATGTGGCATCAGTTTCAGAAAGAAGGGGAGGCAAACAGGAAATTTTAATCAAACAGGGGTTGGCAGTGTTTTGAGCTGATCTTGTACAACACTATTCTTCTACTTGTAAACAGACTAACTTCTGTGCCTCTGCTAAAGAGCAGCCTCCAGACCAAGCCAGGCATTGTAGGCATTGTGTGCTGCTCCTTTTTCCACTGTCCACTTGCAGTCAGCCATCAGGTTACTTACTGTCTGCCCTCACCTTGCCAGTGCTTGTATATCTTGATGTTGTACTCACAGACAGTACTGGCCACGAAGAATGCCTTTCTAAGACCTTCTCCATACTCTTGTCTGCATACACTGTCCAGTGACATTACACCACTGAAAAGAGAGTTCTTGGCTGAGTATTTGCAGCTTGGCCCCTGTGCTGCTAGAGAGATTAGGACCCTGTCTCTTGAACTGAAAATCCAGCTCAGGTCTTACCTGTATAACCTGTGGGAACATATGTGAAAAATAGTTGGGACTGGAGTCAGTAACTCCCCTTGCCATGAAATCCTATTTCCAAAAACTTTTAAGGAGACAGTTAGTTCTCTGTGAATTGTTTGCATTTCAGAGGTAGTGAGTTAAATACATTATTGAATTTTTGACTGAATATCTGTCAACAAATTTTCATTTTAGGAATGGTTTCAAAATTAATAGTGACAATAATTGCTTGACTTTTAGATCTCTGAGCATGGCTTTTCTATCTTCTTTGGTTCCCCATCTGCAAAATATAGCTATTTTCTGCTTCACAGGAGACTAAGGATTAATACCTTAGTATTACTGAAATAGCGATCTGGTGCATTGATTTGAGTATGGCTACTTGAATTAAAAAGTTCCACTCTACAGGGTCTCTTGGTCATAAAGTTTTCAGTATTTACTGGCATGAAAGTCATAAACAAAATTTTGTTTCCAGATAAAACAATTAGACTCAGAAGTTGCCAGGCCAGAAAATGCAATTAAGTTTCACTCCAACACCGATTTTTTTGGGTACAAATCTGCATATCCATTCTGTTAAGACCTTTCTTGACAGAGGGTTCAAGAGGACAAGTGTATATAGTCCCTTTGATAGCGTGTTTCTGAACAGCTGCCAACAGGGAGCTTTGGATAGCATAAGGTGTGCCTCACCGGTAAGAGAAGATCGGTGTGCCCTGCAGTAAAAACAATGACCAAAAAGTCCTACAGGAGTAGGAGCAGGTCAAATTGTAATACCCTTTTCTGGCATGCAAATGAAACAGCACACCCTCTTTAAAACAGCATGATTCATAGGCCTTAAAGAGAAGCCTGTGCTGTTGAGTATCAGTTTATACTTGTAGTCTGTCTGATTTCTGGGAGCTACCAAACCCACTTACCTCATATACCTACAATACATGATGAGAGAATGAGAGGAGCTGCACATTACTTCTCTTTTTTTTCCAAAGTGCATATTCTGCATTCTCTTATGCAAAAGCAACTTCAAGGCAAAGACAAGTAAAATTTTTGTGAGACTCCACGTTGTTGCACACTGTCAAGTCATTAAAGAAGTGATTTTACTGGGCAGAGCTTTGAACCTAAGCAAGTATGAACCAAGCATTCCTAGAGTCCAGAGAAGACTTGACTTCATTGCTTGGGCAGTGCAGTTTCCTTCAGGCTGCTGATTCTTGGTTAGTATCTTGAGCTGTAGTCTTTGACAGCAAGTAACTGTAATGCTGTGAGCAAAGGAGCATTTGCATGGTGAATTTCACCTTAGTCTGCTAAGAAAGAAACAAAGACAATGTCACTGCTTATATTTACATGTTGCTCTTCGAGGCTTCTGACAAGCTGCCATTTTGATGTTTGGCATCAGAGTTTGTGACTTTGATCAGGAACCAAGTTTCAGCATATTTTCATTACTCTTGATGTGATCAGAAAAGGTAAATCACATCTGTACTAAAATACTGATGTATCGTAGTTCTTGTAACTGGTCTGTTTCCTTGGTAGCCTTTCTTTTAAAATAAAAAGCCTATTGGAAATACTTCAATCAGAAGAGAAACCAGAAAGCAATTAACTTCTAATTCACCAGTGACACATTTAAGATATTGTGTGGTAAAATAGGTAGACAGTGAGTTCGCAGAATGAAAAGCACTGTCATAAAACCATAGCTGGTTTTGCCAGTTGTAGTTAGCATGCCATTGCACAGTCTTAAGTAAATGGCATATTTAAGAAAGATAATTAATGGAACTATAAGTCACAGTAATTAGGTTTTATGTACAAGACTGGTTTGTAAAGCTTTCTTAATAAACAAGCTTTGCACTCCTTATGAAGTAGGTGGGTTTTTTTTTTCTCTTTGATTTAGTTTTTAGCAGATACTTATCAGGGAAGGAGTTTCCCTTCATGAGAAGCAATTGCATAGATCAGTACAGGTGACACGTATCTTTTTAACATGTTAATTTATTTCTAATGCTTGTTATACTCACTTCTGTTTAATTATTGTGGTACTCACACTCCAGGTAATGTTACCATTTTCCCTGGTGATTAATGTGGCTGCGCTGTGGGTTTTTTTTAAGGCCTGGTTTAATTTTTCTGGCTTGAGAATATTTTGTATGGAAAAACAGATTAAATATCAGTTCACAATGGATAAAAGAGAGGTCTCATGCCATTTAATAATGGCTTCAAAAGTGGAAAATCACACAAGTGTAGATTCCAGAGAGAAGAGTGCTGTTTTTTGTCGAAACTAGAGGAATGCAGAAAATTGTAGGTGACTCATAGATGTTAAGTGACAAGGAGTCTTTTAAAGTGGCAAAATAATCTGTCATGCAGTGTGAAAATAAGGTAAGCGTGCTAATTTGAAGTCTTAAGAGAGTAATTACACAACTCTGAACTCAAGGTCCCTGTCTGAAATGTGTTCTGTAGGGCCCAGTACTGTAATGGTCTGAGCTGCTTCAGCTTCCATTGATTTCAGTCAGAATCGATGGTACTTGGAGACCAATTGCATTTCTTTCCACAGCACGGGAAGACAGATTGTGGGTCAGAGTTTCACTCTTTTATTGCTTTGAATAGCAGCCTTCCGAGATATTTTCACTGAAATCAGTGTGGAATGGGTTGCCCACCATCAATTGCTGAGAAACTAGTCCTTTCCTTTTAAACCTGAAGTATAAATAACCTGAAAAATGTCAGATGCTTTTTATGTCCTCACAGAAGTGCTTTTCTGTAGCTCTCTTCAGGGCTTTTGTTTGTTTGTTCTTTAAAACCTGCAATCACCTTATAAGCAAAGTGCTACTGGTCTTTATTGCTTTTGGCAGTGTGATCAACCTATTTTCTCTCTGTGTATCTGGTTATGTTCTGCTCTGGTCTGGAGTATTTTGCAAGAGACGTTGTTGGTTCTCTCAAGGAAAGCAGTGGCACACCTAAGCCTGGCTTAGATGCACTTGCTTAACCAAAAGCTGAAGGGGTTTGTAGGATGCTGTCATCAGGGCTACACATTTTTCTGACTTGTATGCTTGTATTACATGGGGGTTTTAATCGTAATATTGTTTGCATTTCTGGTTTTTAATTCTAAACTGTTTGAAAGTAATACTGTATTGCTTGTATTAAAAATAAGTTTTAAGTGTTAAGGATGACTAAAAGATGACTATGATTGCTAATAAGGGTAAAGATTGTGAAATATACTCTGCTCTGGATCTTAGCAGACAACAGTGTCTTAAACAAATGTGTGGGAAGAAGAAAAACAGTCCGGAAAAAGCAGCTCATATAGTTAGTAGCATTTTCTCCCCTTTTTCCTTCCATCAAGTCTGTCTGAAAGTGGGTGTTTTAACATACAGCCATTTCTCGTTAACACGTCTGTGTTTATTTTAGCATGATGGTGTTGTTTTTTTCATCTCCCACTCTGACACAGCATGTTTCATCCGTATATGGTTTCTACGATATGAGACCTTTAAAATGGCTCAAAGAAGAAATAGATTCTTGCCACTAAAACAGTCACTCTCCAGATCTGTGGAAACTTGGTCATTTTAACAGTGTTTTAAATTCCATATACTTGAAGATTGACTATAAATGTTGGGAGTGATATCATGTCAAGAATTTAAAGGTACTCTGTCATACCAGTAATAATTTATGTTAATCATGTTTAATTTAGTCATTTTCTACATACTTGTATTTACAAATTAAACCACTATAATGGTTCTCCTTTGTTTGCATGATATGATTTTATTTTATATTTTTTTTTTCCACTCACCAGATGTTTTCAACACTTTGCTTCCCACTACTGTCATCCCCTCCCTTACCACTGCAACAGTCACAACCACTGTAGCCTTAACAACCACATCGGCAACAGCCATCAGCACCAGAGGTACAGTATGCTTCTTTGTTATGGCCTGGAAAACACATTATAAATAGGAAATTATAGGGTTTATTCTTAAGGATAGAAATTGATAAAGAGAGTGCTGAAACACTTCAATATGTATTTTCAAGAGAATAATCCCCAGGATGGTACATGGTTAAGAAAGATTTCAAACGACCTTGAATATTTTCATTGCTCTAGCAGAGTGTATGTGAACTTTGACAGGATGCTTAAATTATTTGTATACATTTGCATTTAATTTTTTAAGGTTAGTAAAGTAAATTAACTTTAATGTAAAATGCAAGCAAGCTATTTTTAAATAAACGTGACCTTTTAAGAGTGGTTATTTTGGGTGCTAATGTTTAAAACAAGATAGGTGTCTTGGCATTGGAATTACTGCTGATGCAGTCTTGCTTGATAACAAAGAGGCATCACATTACATCACCTTTGTTAGTCTTCTGCAATTTAAGGTATTCCTAACTTAGAAGTGTCTTTATCTTACCAGAACTAGAGTAAATGAGCTGAAATTTCTCTCTCACCTCCCTGTTCCCCATCCTGTTGGATTTTTGTCTGTTCTAGTTTTTTAAATGTTTCTAGTAATGCTTTACTTTGTTATAAGAAAAATATAAAGCTTAATTGTACTGTTGCATTTAGTGACTGACCAGATAACTGTAATAGCAAAGATGTGTATGTAAGGCTTTGCAGTTTATCATCGTCTGAGTAGCTAGTAATCTCTCATGGTGAGTGAAACACCAAAAGGTTCCTATGTGGTCTGTTGAAGGGTTTCATTGTGCAAGGAGAGAGAAAATCATATTTGCTTACTACACTGCAAGTATTCACATTATGAGGTATATTTATCCCAGGAAAGTGAAGACAGAGTTATGAAACCTTTTCTTTCTGGAACCATTGTTATGAGTCAATTGTAGTAACCTGCCTAACTTACAAAAATACGCTGTGCTAAGTGCAAGTCCGTTGTGTATAAAGATTGTGGTAGTACCAGAACACCCAACTTCTTCCTCCGTAGGGCATTGATGTTCTAATATTAATGGCCTTCATCTAATGAACTGACATCAAACCTTAAATTTCATTTTTAATCTTTAATATTACTTAGAATGTGAAAAACATGTTGTTTCAGTGCAAAAGAGAGAGTGTTATAGTATTTTTTTCCCCTCCAGAAAAAAAAGGATAGACCATGGAAAACAGATCAGTGTTCACGGGTTTGAGTAGTTGCAAGAGGAACAATTCCTGAATGCTTCCAGAATGACAGGAATTATCATGTCTTTATAAAAGAGTGTTTTGAGTCAAGTAGTGGAAGTTTCCCAGTTTTCTGAGGCCTCGGATACTGGAAGGACAAAGTGCTTGGTGTGCCATGTTGGTTTTTGCTGTTCTTAATGAATTGTTTCCTTCTTCTTCTCATGTGATTATGACTTAAGTATGTCACTGTTGTGATTGTATATTGTGTACCTATGTTGTTGAGGCATTTGGTTACCTCCTGCGTGTAGTTTAAGGCATCCTTTGCCTTGATTCTGAAGTGTTCATTTTCACCTTTTGTGTGCCTGGTATCAAAAGAAAGATGTGGAAGAGGAGAGCACTCTTCTAAGCTTCAGATCTAACACATGGGAGAATGCATACAATTTGATATTACAGTAACAAAGAGATACTGCTTTAAGAGAAATCAAAAGAAGGAAATCTAGGTGAAGGTGATTAATCACTAACACCTGAGCACCCACTTTTCCCAGAAAAAGTGAATGCAGCAAAATGGCTGAGCAGATGAGACCACTTCAACTCAAGGAACAAGGTAGATATGGTCTCTTGGGCAGACAGTCTAAGAGACAAAGGAGTGTGGGAAGAATGTCACTTGAAATGCTTGTATTGAAAGGAAGATGTCAATCTATCCCAATGCAGGGGAAAACAGGACACACGTAACAGAGTAATGAAGTTTTCTACCTAACAGCCTAAGGAATCAAAAACCACAAAAACATGAAAACAAGCTAAGGTTACTATAAGCATAAGTCATAGAGTATATCAGTTTAGAAGAAACAGGAAACAAGGCATAGAATCAGAAATAAGCAGATGCAGAATTGTTACTAGCAAGGTATGAGAATTTTAACAAAAAAAAAAAAAGGGTTTAGAAATACTTTGGATGAAAGACAAAAGTAAAGAAATGCTGTGATCCTGCTAATGAATGCCTAGGACGAGGCTGAAGTAACTGGTGTTTTATCCAGCAGTGGCTGACCACTGGAGTGCTGTTTCTAATAGGGGTGTCACAGTGAAAGATGACCACAAATAGAGACAGATCAAAGAACAAGGATGGGAAGTCTAAAGGTATGCTCTGCGAGGAGGCTGAAGGCACCAGATTGTTTGGTTTTGCTTTTAAGTCAGTATGACTGATGAAGAGTTATTTTTTCAAGTTCAGTGGGGAAAACAAATCTACTGAATTAGAAGCAAAGGCATTTCGTGGGGAGACTTTCTAAATGCATGGGAGTCAGTGGTGCAATGTAACTGTTGAAATTCTACTAATTCCTTCATCATTGCTTTCCTTAAAAATTCTTGATTTCCATGACAGAGGGAAGGTGCTCTCTTCTCCTGTCTTTTCGGTTTCTTCCTCTTCTATATTTCTCAGACCCATAAACAACTAATGTTCACAAAGTTACAGTGAATGTCATGCAGGCAGAGTTCTGCCATCCTGAAATACAAGGCTGAACCTTATCTAGGTTGTCAGAGCACCTACACATCAGAGGTGCAAACAGCATAAGAGCCATTTTGGAGATCAGATTTTCAGTAGTATCTGTTTTTGACCAAGCAAAAAGTACCATATAAACTTATTTTCTTTTCATGCTTCTGCTTCTTATTCCACTAAGATAGTTGACATGGAGGAGTATATAAGGACATAATGTTGTGAAGCTATTAATGTATTTTCAACATGCAAAACACTTTTGTGTGTGTGTTTTAGCTTCTGGGTATGTTAGAAGCAGCCATTTCTCTTTATCCTACTTTATTGGATTTTGTTTGATCATGCCTTAAAGAAACAGAAATTTGCCCCAGATCACAAGGTAGTGCATACTAATCAATATCTTTGAACTAGATTTCCAATAGCTGACTTAATATACTTGCTGGATGAATTTCACTACTTCTGTTCTAAAGTTATGACTTGATACTTATAAGTCACCTTAGGTAAATTGTATGCAACATTCCTATATTCTGCGTGACTTCTACAAAGTCCACCTTGAGGGTCTATTACTCCACATGCAGTCACAGGAGATGTCTTTACAGAAATTTGGTACAGGATATAAAGAGCCCAGAGAGACCATAAATCTAAGGCATTTTACATTATGATGTTTGTACTTCATCATTACCAAAAGCCTGAATTAATAGGGGAAAAAAAAAATTCTCCAAACCATCATCAGTTAATTCTGGAACTGTGTGACCCATCTCTATATCAATTTGCATGGCATTTAGTAAACAACATGAAAAAAAGATACTGATACAGTTGGATGACAGCATGATAATTCATAAACATCCTATTTAGTCAAACTTTTCAGTTTCTCAGACAATATATGCTTGCTTTTGTGCTCAGTCCTTCAGGAATTAATTATTCTTTTACTGGTACATTACCTACTAACTCAAAAAATCTAAACACAGTTTGATGCCAGTGAAGAGTATACCGTTTACATATTTGTCAAGGGTATCTTAAAGCCTAATAACCATGGTGAGGAATGTATGACAAAATGGGAATAAGATGCATGAGGAAAAAAAAAAAGTTCTAAAGGACTATGCAAAGAATAATTATGCATGAATTGTCTCCGTTCTATCAGATTTACCTAATATTATTTGTGAAAGCTGTGCATGGATCCATGCTAATGTTCCCTTCTGTGAGTGGGAAGAGGCACAAGAGGATTGTGGATTTGACCCCAGTAGTGCAAGAAGGGGTGCCTCACTCGGAGAAATTCTTTGTTCACTTAAAGTTCACTTGTGGTTCTGTGCAAATCTTTCAGAGTCCTGGGTGTGGAGGAGGAGTGTGATTAACAATCTAGGAAAAGCCAGCTCAAGTCGGAATAACTCTGGGTTTCTGGATTCACAGAAAAGAAAACCCTGTGCACACAAATGCACGTAAAACCTTCCCAGAGGCTGGCATTGTGTTACACACCCCCCACACACACACTCCTTGCAATTTTAAAAATGTTTGTTTCTGTCAAGGAAAATAAAAGTCAAAGACATTGTAAAACTTGGTAGTTTTGACTTATTATTGAAGCTTGAAATCTCTCCCCACAGCCCCCAAATAGGTACAAAATTAACATTGCAAGAACATCCTAAACTCAAAAGATAGATCCATTCAGTTCAGTTGCACATATCAGGGTGATTCAGTCTCAGCTGACTCACTTGTATAACGATGGTGCCAGAATGTTCAAAGCTTTATATAGCAACGCCTAAAAACATCTCCAAAAGTCGTTCCACATAGCAGAGGTATATGATGCTGCTCCCAGCCAGCCTCACTATGAATTTCAAGTTTATTTAATAGTCAGGATGACCACAAAGACGACAAGTGTACACATTTATATGTGAATGAAATCCCTGCTTTATTATATTCCACTTTGCTTTTATTGGTTTTGGCTCTCATATAAAAGAATGATTTCTTAAAGGAAATCTGGAGAGCTAAATTTAGAAGAAGAGTTTGCAGTGGATTAAGGAAGGGTTTGAGTATGTGATTATTTTGAAAACTACTGTGAATGTAATTTGTGAATATTTCTATTTAATAGCATAAATTCCAACCTTCATAGTTAAAATTACATTCTTTTTCTCCTGTTTTTGCCTTGGGGGGGTCAGAAAAAAAGACTAGACTATTTCATTAAAGGCAGTTTAAAGGCAGAAACTACTTAGACAGTACTTGTAGTCCTCAGATTTTTTCGTACTAAAAAATATTAAGCATTACAAGTTCTTTCCTTGTGATTGCATTTTTCTTTTACATCTGCTAATTGATATAACTTGGCACTTTGAGATATTGCAGAGAA